CTCAGTAGAGAATAAGAATCACGGACACCCCTTGCCGGCTTCACTCTGTGCTCCGGTGCTTGGCAGGTTTGAACTTTCTTCATTCCCATGATGATGACGGGAGAAAGTTGCGGGAGCAAACCAGGAGAGAGAGGTCATTGACTTGCATAGAGATGCCCAGAGCTAGAATTTAAATCCAGGCTCCACTCTCTGCCTCCCCATCCTCCACTCAACAAAATGCAGAGGAAATGAAAGTTGCCATTTTGGCCATTGTTGAGCTGATAGTTCAGTGACATTAAGCGCATTAAGAATGCACTTAGGGACTGGAGCGATAGCACAGCGGGTAGGGTCTTTGCCTTGGATGCAGTCAACCCAGGTTCGATTCCCAGCTTCCCATATGGTTCCCCAGAGCACTGCCAGGCGTAATTCCTGAGTGCATGAACCAGGAATAACTCCTGAGCATTGCCAGGTGTAACCAAAAAAAGAATGCACCTTATACTGTTGCAAAATTGTCACCACCATTCATGGGTAGAATTTCTTTCCCCCTCCCAGAGGGGGTTAAGCTCTAACTTCCTCTTTTTTCTTTCTGCAGTGCCAGGTGACCTCTGTCTGCCTCTATGAATGTGACTCCTGTGGGTACCACAGACGAGAGGAATCATTCGTTATTTCTCCTCTGAGTCTGCTGTATTTCACAGAGTCTCGCTTCAAGGTTCATCCCAGTCTTAGCGTGTGTCAGAGTCTTCTTCCTTTTTCAAGTTAATATTCTGCTGGGTATAGATGCCACAGTTTGCCTCTTCGCCTGTCAATGGATGTCTGGGTGGCTTCCGTCTTTTGCCCTGTTGCAAATAATATTGCAAGGAGCACAGGTGTGTGAGTGACTCTTCCAGCCCTACTTTCAGGTTTTTGGGTAGATAAATTCAGAGGTGGAATTGCTCCAGCTCCTGGTAATTCTCTTTACAATCTTTTTCTTTTTCAACTGGGTCAGCATGAGATACACAGTTACAAAGCTGTTCATGATCAGGTTTCAGTCATGCCTCATCACCATATTGTTTCAGTAGTACCAGCACCGTTCCACATCCCTACAGCAGGCACCACCATCTGCCTTTCTCTCCACCCTCTCAACACTTGTTTTTCCCTCTTTTCTTGTTTTAAAAAAAGTTATTGGGCTGGAGCGATAGCACAGTGGGTAGGGCATTTGCCTTGCACACAGCCGACCCGGGTTCGATTCCCAGCATCCCTTATGGTCCCCTGAGCACCACCAGGGGTAATTCCTGAGTGCAGAGCCAGGAGTAACCCCTGTGCATTTCCAGGTGTGGCCCAAAAAGAAAAAAAATGTTATTAATTTTATTATCATAGAGTTGCTCACAATAATTGATTACATTCAGTATTTCAACACCAATTCCACCACCATTCCACCTTCCCTCCACCACTCATGCCTGCCCCACAGGCAGATGCTAGATAATTTATTTTGTATTGTTTGCTGTGAAGAGTATAAGATGTTTGTAAGGGTCTATCTTACAGCGATTCAACAACAACGAAATAGTATGAGATATCCCACGGCCGCGAAAGCAGCCTTGCACTCTTGGGATTCTAAAAATTTAGATAACTGGTGTCCGGAATCATCTCTGCAGTGAGCTGCTTGAGTCTGAGATCCCTTTGTGAGTCTCAGGATCAAGGCTGTTAATGCATTTAAATGGCACCCGGAGGCAGTTTGTGGGCGTGACAGCCAGAGCCCCGGAAGGGTGGCCTCTTTTTCATTTGTTCATTTGATAGTAGTATTTTAATGGGGGGGGGGGACACTGTGTATCATTGTAGTTTGGATTTGCATTTCCCGAATGATTAGTGATGCTCAGAATCTTTTTTATACCTATTTGCCCTTTGGAGAAATGTCTATTCAAGTAACTATATACTTTTTTTTTTGTATTTGTTTTGGGGATCACAGTTGGTGCTGTTCAGGGTTTACTTCTGGCCCTGTGCTCAGGGATCACTCCCAGTGATGCCCAACGGAGCATATTTGGTGCCAGGGACCAAACCCAGGTCAGTTCTGTGCAAGGCAAGTGCCTTACCCATTATACTTTCTCTCTGACTTTCTCAAGTGACTATATTCTGAACTCTCCCCAGGCTACTCTCAGACATGTAGTCTCTGATTGAGTGGGTCAATCTTCTAGGCTCTTGAGGGCTTCACCCAGGCGTGGGGCGCTGGAGGACCTTTGGTTGGAATAATTAAGCACATCTTCACAGTTTGGTGGTATCTGTCTCCTACTGGCACCTGCTGAAACAGAGACAGTTAAAAGTTCTGCTTTATAGTTAGGGCAACCACGACCTAGAGAAGGTGAGTCTCTGACTCCGATCCTGCAATTGTCCCTGGTGGAGCTGAGGTTTGGACTCACTCAGGCAGGCTGGTCCCGGCCCTGGCCCTGAGGGTAGAGTGGGGAATGTCTCTGGAGGAGCGAGTGTGTGCTGTGATCTGGAGCTGATGGTCTCTCAACTTACCTTTTACTGTTTTGTTGTGTTTTTGGCCCATACCTGGCAGTGCTCAGGGCTTTTGGGCCACTCCTGGCTCCGCACTCAGGAATCACTCCTGGCGGGTGCCATCTGGGGTGCCAGGGATTGAACTCAAGTTGCCTGGGTCAGCCTTGTGTAAGGCAAGTGCCCTACCTGCCTTATTTTTTCTCTGGCTCCAGACATGAGGGTCTTTAGAAGTGTTGGCGGCCCTGCTTGATTGGGGGGTCGGGGGACTGCTTGAGGCTGGGGTGGGACAGAGGCTGAGGGCTGGGGTTTCGGCCTTTGAGGTAAGCTGGTTCCAGTCTTGCCACCTGGACAATTGTGTCTCTCTTGCCCCTGGTCCCTGGGAGAAGAAAAATAGTTGAGGGTTCTGGAGTTCCTGGCCTAGTGGGAGGCTGGAAGTCTGGGGCAGATGAAGATCTTGTCAATATCAGGGTATGAGGAATGTTCCGAAGGGAGCACGTCTCTGAAGGATTGGCTGGAGCTTGCCACGGGTCAGGAAGGGGTCTTGGTAAAAGTGACATTTGAAGTGAGACCGTAGGGAGGTAAAGGATCAGGGTACCACCAGAGAAAAGAGGAGTAAAAACCCCGAGGGAAGAAAGGACTTGGTGAGGTCAGGATAGCGCAGGGCCCAGGCGGGCGGCTGCGGTAGGAACACAGGAGGTTAGCTATGGGGTGGGAGAGGCAGGGGTGGGGCTGAGGAGGTGAACATGTATGGAGCCATGGGGGTGTTTTAAGCAGAGCTGAGATGAGATCTGCTCTCTCCTGGTAAGATACTGTGATTATTGGTCCCATTTTAGAGCTGAGTAAACTGAGGCCCAGGACCATGACTTCATGGACTTACTTCTCTCTCTGGAATCCAGAGAGGGGGGAGTTCCTTCAGAGTCTCCTGGTGAAGACTCTGTCCCCTTAACGGCACCTAACCCTAGCCCCACCCCAGATGCCTGGGTTCAAATCTGCCACTTACTAGCTGTATGACTTCAGGCAAGTCGCCTCCCCTCTCTTTGTCTCAGCTTTCTCCACTCCCAAGGATGTAATTATAGTGCTTACCTCATGGGGTGGGTGTGAGGATGAAATGAGTCCACATATGTAGATACAGATATAGATGTATGTGTACACACACACACACACACACACACACACACTCACAGTGGCAGGTACAAAGGAAGCACTTGGGAAAGCTCTTACCTAATTTATTATGAAAAATTATTGTTTTGCTCTTACTACTAGTTTTACCACTCTCTCTCTCTCTCTCTCTCTCTCTCTCTCTCTCTCTCTCTTTCTCTCTCTCCTCTCATTGATGGGTTTACAGCAGACCACTGTGGGGGATGATGGACTTGTTGCCCCCCTCATCCCTTAAAATCAAGGTCTGGAGGAGGCCTGGGCTGACTCACTCCTGTGGGGAGGCAAGCTGTTCCCTGAGTCACTTCCTATGCTCTCACCCCCTCACCCCTCCCACCCCACCCCTGTCAGACTGGTGCAGCCCCACCAGGCACAGGCGTGCAGTGGACCCCTTTAGCGCTAGCACCCTCATCTCAGGAACTCAGGGTCCATCTCAGGGGAAACTGGCCCCATCAGGTGTGCGAAGTAAAGGCTGAGACTCAGAGGACATAGCCACCTCCCTCCCCGGGGTATCTTCCTGCAGACCCCTGTCCCTTCATCTTTAAAGTGGGGATCAAATCCTTCTCTTCCAGGGGGTGCAGAGGGCTTAAGTACAGCACCCTGCATTCGAAGTGGCACCCCAAACCTCAGGTTACTGCCCTTGTTGTGATTGCTAATGTTGACAGCTTGCACCTAGCAGGGGGCGGGGTGTGTGTGTGTGTGTAGGGTTGCACTGCATTGATCTGGCCTCTGGCCTGCAAGGTGGGACTCTGTGTGTGTGTGTGTGTGTGTGTGTGTGTGTGTGTGTGTGTAGGGATGCACTGCATTGATGGGGCCTGCAAGGTGGAACTCTCATCACTCCACAGAGTGGGAGACCAGAGAGGTGTAGAAACCAGCTCAGGGACACGCAGGTGAAGAGGGGTGGCCCGAAGATCTGGCCTGCAGCCACACGGGGCAGGGGACTTAGCCTGCTGCAAACTCCCTTTCCCCTTTACTCCCGCCCAGCCGGAGATCATCCTAGCGTTGCCCTGTACATGGGGGCTGTTGGGAAGATGAGAATGGCCCAATTAATACCGAGAAGAGCAGCTGTCATGCTGGGCACGGCAGATGCTCTGACCGTCTCTGGCTGGGGCACTGAGTCGTCCCGTCTCTAAGAGGCGCAACTCCCCTGCTGCTGCCCCTGACAGACGCCCTGCGCCAGATGTGCGGGAGTGACGGGTCCAGCTGTGCAGTGGGCGGTCCCGGCTCCGGAAGAGGCCGCCTGGGCTAGACCCGGGGCTCCCCTGCCGGGTCGCGGCGCCCGGCCGACCCTCACTGTGCCGGGGCTGGGGTTCCCACGCCGCCAGGGCTGGACCAGTGGGTTCACCTGCCGCCGCCGCCGCCGCCGGAAGTTGCGCAAGCGCCAGCGAGCGTTACCTGAGCCCCAGGTGGGCCGGGCTGGAGGAGTTGGCGGCGGCGGCGGCGCGGGCGCAGCCGGGTACGTGCGGGCCGGGGCTCGGGGGCCTCTCGCCCTCGCGGGACCTCTGGGGACGGGGTCGCAACCGGCTCCCCTCGCCCATCCTGGGAACGCGGGGGCTGGGCCGCGGGGACCCTTCTGTTCCTCTGCCTCCAGGCCGGGCTTGGGGGATGGGGGGGGACCGGGGCCACACGGTGCCTGGCCAGCGGCCCGCGGCCTCCTCCGTTACTGGGGGCGGGGGTCCCCCCCAAAGCGACAACGGGGCGTCTCAGAAAGCTAGACCAAGAGCAGCCGAGTTCTTGCCAGCGTCCCCCCTGCTGCCTGTTGGGCTGACGCGGGGGTGGGGCGTGTGTGCGTGCGGGTCTGTGTTTGTGTGTGCGAGTGTGTGTCAGAGTGGGGGTGGCAGCCTGCGGGATGCCAACGGAACCTGCCAGGCACTCGGGGGCAGGTGTGGGCAGCGTTTGAAGTCGTAGGTGGGTGGCGGGGCGGCGAGCCCCGCCCGGGAACGGGGCTCTGGAGCCGCGCGCCTCCCTTGGCCCGGCTGTGAAATGGGCTGGTGCGGCTCAGCCCGCGGGGAGCGACGGGCGGTCCTTCTTGTGTCTGCGGCTCGGGCGGGCTGGGACTGACCCCTCTGGGGTGGGAGACCCCCGCGGGGGCAGGGAACAGGGCTGCGGAGTCAATGTCAAAACAGCAAGCAAAGGAACCCTGGTTCTCGGACGTGCTCGGATCGCGCGCGCACACCCCTTTTTCCTTTTCTTCGCGACCTGTTTTATCTCTCCATCCTCGCTGTGCCCCGAGGCTCTGGAAGGCCTATTTTTAACCTCGCGTCCCCGATAAGGAACTCGAGTCTGTTTGGGGCGCAGCTGCTTGCGCAAGGCTCGGCGCGGGCAGCGGGTGGGCGAGCCGGGGCGAGCGCGCGGGGCTGCAACACCCCCCACCCCCCCGCAGGCTGTTCGCCATCTGTTCGCGCCCCGTCTGCTCCCCTGCTCCCCCCAACCCCCAGTCCCCCCGGTCCGGGTCACGGGTGCGGCGGGCGGGGTGCCCTGCCCATCTGACCTCTTTCCTCCCTCTCTACCCTGGACGGTGCCCGGGGAGGGAACCGCCACCGCCGCCCGCCGACGGGTTGAACTGGTTTGGGAGGCGGCGGCCCCGGGTGGGGTAAAGTCTAGCCAAGCTCAGCGAGGCCGCGGGTCAGATCAGAGGCTCTCTTGGGGTCTGGGTGATCGGTCCGGGGTGGGCTGGGGGAGGGATTCCTCTTGCACCCCACAACCTCTTCTACCTCGGGAGCAGCTCTGGCTGTGCACCGCGCCCTGCCCCTCACCTTCTCGACATTGCTGAAAAGAACTAAAGCCTTGGGGGTGGTGGTGGTGGAGGGTGGTCAGACAGGGCAGGGGGCAGGCATGTCTGCGCCAGGGCTGATGCCGTAGCATTTGCTTTTATGGGCTATGTTCGGATGAAGAGTCTAGAATTTTCCTGCATTTCCTGATGTTTAGCTTCCCGGAGACATCTGCCCCACCACCTACACCTGCAGTAGGCTGGTTGGTCCCCTCCGGTTTATCTCTCTCCACCACCCCACCACCCCACCACCCCCCCGCCCACCAGCGTTTCAGTTCAGTCCACAGCGATGGAAATCTTCCTAGGTGTTGAGATTGGGTGCCAGAAATGGAGATAGGAGGAACAAAAGAAACAAAGCCCTACCCTCACCGGGATGCTATTGCGGAGGATGGAGGAGCCAAGCGCTGTGCAAGCCAGCCAGGAGGACAATAGGTGGCGAATTGGGCCTCCCCGGAAACGTGTAGCCTTTATAGCAGCTCTGGGAAGAAGCCAGTCACTTCTTCTTGGAGTCTTGGTTTCTCCAGCTGAGAAACTGAGCTGACCTCTTTTTAAGATTGGATGGAAGTGATTGGATGGAAGTGATTGGATGGAGTGATTGGATTGGAATGATTGGATTGGAATGATTGGATTGGAGGGAGGTGGCAGGCTGATTGGAGGGAGGGTTGCAGAAGGTGGTGTCAGATGTCCAGCAGATGCTAGAGATCTCTGCCACCTTACTCCAGACCCTCCAATTATGCTTTTTTTTGGGGGGGGGTCATACCCGGTGATGCTCAGGGGTTACTCCTAGTTCTTCACTCAAGAATTACTCCTGGTGGTGCTGGGAAACCATATGGGGTGCTGGGGATTGAACCCTGGTTGGCTGTGTGCAAGGTGAATGCCCTACCTGCTGTACTATTGCTCCAGCCGCAGACCCCCCCCCCCCCAATTCTGGAGGCCAAGGTGAGCTGGCCAGTTAGTTTTCTGCTTAATGGTGGAGAGGCGCTCATCTGTACTGTCTGGAATAGTGGCCAGTGAAGACATGGGACTCTGGAATACTTGAAATATGGCTAGTGTGATCCTGGGCCTGAACAGGGCATGTCTATTTAGTTTGAATTTGAAGTGTAGGTTGAGTAGGATTAAGTGGTTGGTGGTGGCTGTTGACTTAGACAACACAGACGTAGATGGCCAGAACTGCAGAGTCCACTTGGGGATCAAAGTTGTGCGCCCCCTCCTCCCATTTTACAAATAAGAAGGAACAGGACTTGGTTTGTGGCTTTTCTTCTGGCCATTCCAGAAAATGGGGGTAGCGGTGGGGGCATGTTGTGGGTCTTTCCTTCTGAAGAGCAGCACACTGGTTTGATGTTTGGCACATCAGATCCTGAAATGCAATGCTGGCACACCCTGGAGTGCAGGCTCCTGCCTCTGGCTCCCCCCATCCTATGGTGTCTTGCGGATCGAGTCCACTGCTGCTAAGCCAGCGCTGTGGGATCTTGGCTATTTCCAGTCCTCCTAAGCAGCATAACTCAGGGCTGGTGTTCCCAGCTGATGGGCATCCATGGGTCACTGTGGGCCTGACCTCACAGTCTGTTCTGGGAGTTGATGGGCGTCTGGACTCTGCTGGGGCGGGGGCGGGAGTTTTCTATCTTCCTCTTCCACGAACTTGGCTACTTTACCTGGGGCCTAGCATGTCCAGGCCGGTGCATGGCACCCGAAAGCTTCCTGCCCGGGTGCGTGAGGGGCGGAGGTGGTAGGAGGCTCTTCCTGGGCAGTCCTGTGGGAGGGAAGGGTGGGAGTTCTGTCTCTTGATCACCCAACTCCAAGACCCCTGCTCCAGCTCCTTCCTACTTGGAGGCAAGAAACCCAACCGCCACCTTGCTGCCTTTGCCAAATCAAACTGATGGCCCCTCTCTGGGCTTCAGTCTCCCTCTGCAGAATGCAGTTAATGAGACGGTCCAGTGAGCTTTGAGTCGTCCGGTGCCCCGCAGCCGAGAGCCCACGTTGTTTCTTTTTAAAGGCATGCCTGGCCCATTTTTTCCTCTGCTCCAGCTGCCAGTGTTTTGGGAACCCTTTTTTCTCTCTCGCTCTGCTTTTTTTTTTTTTTTTTTTGCAGCGCCTGCCTGGTCCCGAGAAAAAGGGCGGAGGTGTGGGCGGGGCCACAGGCCCTTCAGTGATAGCTTCTGCCTGCTGATTGGCTCCTTCTGAATCAGGGGCGTGGCCCTTACCTTTTAATAGGAAGGCGTCTGGTGCTTGGAGCGTTTGCTGAGCCTTTGTCTGAGCGTGCTCAGCTCTTCTCTTTCTTTTCTGCCCTGCAGCCGTTGCCTGTGTCCAGCTGCTGACGTTCTTGCCCGGATCCTGGCCTCTTGGTTGCTCGGGGCTCTCCGACCACAGCGCCCAGGGTATGTAACAGCCATGCCGGTGGACACGCTGACTCCTGCCTCCCGGGATCCTCCCGCCCCCCATTTCCGCCTTCGGACCAAGGTCCCTGGGTACCTGCTGCGGAGGCCCACGGATGGTGGCGCCCGGAAACCCAGCGCCGTGGAGCGCCTGGAGGCCGACAAGGCCAAGTACGTCAAGAGCTTGCATGTGGCCACCACCCGCCAGCAGCCCGTGCAGCCGCTGCTGTCCAAGCAGCCCCTCTTCAGCCCGGGGACTCGGCGCACGGTGCTGACTCCTAGCCGGCGAGCTCTGCCTGGGCCCGGCCGCCGGCCGCAGCTGGACCTGGACATCCTCAGCAACCTCATTGATTTGTGTGATAGTCCCGTGTCTCCTGTCGACACCAGCCGTACCCCCGGAAGGGCCGAGGGAGGCCGCCAGGTGCCCCCAGCCACCCCTCCACGCCCGCCGCCCAGCACCGCTGCAGTCCGCCGAGTGGACGTCCGCCCCCTGCCTGCCTCCCCTGCCCGGCCCTGCCCATCTCCAGGCCCTGCCCCAGCCGCCAGCCCAGCCAGGACCCCTGGTTTGCAGCGCTCCAAGTCGGACCTGAGCGAGCGCTTCTCCAGGGCAGCTGCGGACCTGGAGCGCTTCTTTAACTTCTGCGGCCTGGACCCCGAGGAGGCGCGGGGGCTGGGTGTGGCCCACCTGGCCCGGGCCAGCTCCGACATCGTGTCCCTGGCAGGGCCCAGCGCTGGGCCAGGCAGCTCGGAGGGCGGTTGCTCCCACCGCAGCTCTGCCACGGTCGAGGGGGCCCGGGAGCGCGTCCCCTACGGGGTGTCGGTGGTGGAACGCAACGCGCGCGTCATCAAGTGGCTCTACGGGCTGCGGCAAGCGCGGGAGACCCCGGCGGCCGAGGGCTAGGCTCCGTGGCACCCTCTGCCCCCTAAGCCACGGGAGAGCCTGCAGCCACGTGGGGCCCAGCAGACCATGCTGCCCTGCAGAATTTGGAACAGAGGCGAAGGCTCCAAGGCAAGCCTGCTTTCTGCCCGGGCAAGGACCGTCCCTGGAGAGAGTTGCCTGTTGACCTTGGGCCAACCCAGCCTCTCCCATGGAGGGGTTTTGACATGACTGTCCCCCTGCTTGGTTTCTCTCTGGGTTGAGCTTCAGGTCACTTGGATTCAGAGTGAGGGGCAGAAGACTGTCCCCCAGCCCGGGCTACCCATCAGCTCTGCTCCCTTCTTCCTTTCCTGTGTCTGCCCTGGGCCAACTTCCCCTGGGGGCCCTGGCTCCGGGGCAGTGGGGGCAGGGAGGAGTGGTCCAGCCAGTCCTGGCAGTGCGGCCTGGCCTGGCCTGGAAGGGAGCGGACCGGAGGGACCGGAAGGAGGCTGCCACTGCAGCAGGCGCAGCTCTGCCTTCCCTTCTCTAGGTGAATAAACACAAATGCTTGTTTTTCAAAGGCTGGGCCATTGGATTCTTCTGTGTTCACAAGGCGACATGGTGGGAGACCATTTTTATTTATTTACTTGTTTGTTTTGCAGGGAGGGGCTTCATAATTCAGAGATGGTCCATTGGAGGACCTGGTGGGCATGAGGGCAGAGGTTTGTGTGACCTCAGTTTTGCCTCCCAGGAGGTCCTTATAACTCCTCTGGAAGGCTGATGGGCCTCCAAAGAGGAGGAAAGTGGGTGCAGCCACAGGGACGTGGGGCAGAGCTAGGGCAGAGTGGGGTCTCTCCTACAACAGGAAGGACCTGCAGGGAAAGGCTGACGGTACATGCACCCTCCCAACTCTGGATGTTCTGTCCCATGGACCGCCACCCTCCCTGCCCCCATCCCCCCTTGAGTTCTTCACACACAAAAGGCAGCCACCACCCCCCTAGCAGGGTGTGGGCTTAGAGGGAAGGAAGCTCAGAGAGGCCAACCCCAAACTTTAAGGTCAGAGAGTCCAAAAATCAGGGCTCGGAAGTGGGAGTCTGAGGAGGAAGAGGGACTTGGGGAACGCAGTGCAAAGTGAGTGGCCCTGCCTTGCCCTGGTGTGACCTGGAGCAATCCCAGCTCCCTCTCTTGGGGGTGGGGGTGGGTGTGGGGTGGGGGAGATTTTAGTGTGGAAGGATCTTGCCGGGGAAAAAGGCGGGGGCCAGCTCTGAGGTTCCCCCTCCAGGTTGATGACCCATGAGGAGTAGCCGGTATGGGCTGGGCACACAAAGGGTCAAAGCCTCATGGTCTCTGCCTGCCCGTGGCCAGGGGGAGCAGGAGGGGCCGGGTGGCGCTTCCTCTCCCATGGCTGGCCTGGCTTGGACGCAGAAACAGGAAGCTCTAATGGGGGCCCCGTGACAGGTTGGATGTGGATTTTATTCTAAGCCTAAAGAGGAGATTTCCGTTGGTTTGTTGACAAGCATCCCGGTCAGCCGAGCTGTCTATCTGTCTGTCTGTCTGACAAGCCACAACCAGCCCCCAGGGACTGGGCTGGGGCTGAGCAGTTTAGTGAAACCAGACGAGGGTGATATTCTGCTTAGGAGAATAGATCTCATGGCACAGATGGGGAGACAAAGGCACCCCAGAGTATGACAGTGAGCCTCCTGGGCACCATGTTAAGGGGCTCAGGGGTCATCGAGGTGGTGTCAGAACAACTCTGTGCTAAGCGTTGGCCCTTGTGGTGCAGAAAGCCAGGCAGATGTGTTGGCTGCATCTGGCAGGGGAAGACATCGAGGACCAGCATGCTGGGCTTGACACCATTGTCCCTGAATCCTTAAGGTGACTTTTCAATGGGCACCTTACAAGATCTCTGCTGGGGCTGGGGATTGTCTCCAGGGCTAGGCCATGCTGTGCGTGCAGAAGGTCCAGTTCCACACCAGCACTACATGTTTCCCTGAGCACCTTCCAGGGAGCCAAAAGGAAAAAAAAATAAAAGTAGGTCACATCACCTCAGGGAAGGCATGGTCTGTGGGCTGTACTACGCTGTCTATACTGCAACCTGGGCCACGCTCCAGCTCTGTTTCCATCTGCCTGGACACATGCTCTCTGCTCCATCCTAGCGGCCTCTACTCCGGGGTATCTGTCCCGCAGGGGCCAGGGCAGACACAGGCCCTGTCTCATCTCAGGGGATGGGATCAGGCAAATCAAAGGCGAGCACCCAACTGTTCAGGGAGGTGCACCCTCCCTGATGCCAGTGCTGGGCCCAGGGGTTCAAGAAGACTCTGGAAGGCTGCCGGGAGTGTGGGAGGGATTTTGGAAAGTGAGGAAGCTGCCAGCCTAGACCGAGATTGTCATTTCTGCTGGGGCAGACTGGTTCCTTGGAAGCTGCCCCTCAGCCTAGATTCTGGAACCTTCCAGCACCCCATGAGGGTGTGTGTGTGTGTGTGTGTGTGTGTGTGTGTGTGAGAGAGAGAGAGAGAGAAAGAGAGAGAGAGAGCGTGCGAGAGGGAGACCTGGTTCCACGGAAGCTGCCCCTCAGCCTAGATTCTGGAACTTTCTAGTGCCCCATGAAGGGGTGTGTGTGTGTGTGTGTGTGTGTGTGAGCTAGGGGGAAGTCTGGTTCCATGGAAGCTGCCCCCTCAGCCTAGATTCTGGAACCTTCCAGCGCCCCATGAGGGGGTGTGTGTGTGTGTGTGTGAGAGAGAGAGAGAGAGAGAGAGAGAGAGAGAGAGAGAGAGAGTGCCCCCTCAGCCTAGATTCTGGAACTTTCTAGTGCCCCATGAAGGGGTGTGTGTGTGTGTGTGTGTGTGTGCGCGCGCGCGCGCGCGCGTGTGAGAGAGAGAGCGCGAGAGCGAGAGCACGAGCTAGGGGGAGGCCTGGTTCCATGGAAGCTGCCCGTCAGCCTAGATTCTGGAACCTTCCAGCGCCCCATAAAGGGGTGTGTGTGTGTGTGTGTGCGCGCGTGCGCGCGCTACAGCTTTCTTCCACACCCCCACCCCCACCCCATTCTGCAGTTCTGCAGAACAGCCCTCTCTTTTGTTCTGTCTCCCCCGGAGGGTGAGGGGCTGTGAGCCTCGCTGAGGGCTGGCAGCTGCTGCCCTGTCCCCCAGGGCAGCCTGGCGTCCGGAGCAGCTCCTCAGGCCAGACTGGCCCCAGCTGCCGAGGCCCTAATTAGGCGGAGATGAGATCCGCTCCCCGATCTATTTCCCACCGGCTAATTATATACACGTGGGCCTGGGAGACTGGCAAGCCCCTGGCAGGGCACTTCTGTTGTGAGGTGTCAGGGGCCCCTGGGAAAGGATCTGTGTGTCCTGCCTGCAGTACCTCAGTTTACCCTTTCAGTGGAGGATAGGGAGTAACTGAAAGGAGCTAGATATTAGGGGGTGGGGGTTGGGAGTCACAGGGGGCGTGCTCAGGGTTTATTCCTGGCTCTGTTCTCAGGGATAACTCCTGGCAGAGCTCTGGGCACCATAGAAGGTCCGGGGATCAAATCCTGATTGTCCACGTGCCAGGCAAGCGCCTTAACTGCTGTTCTCTCTCTCCGGTCCCCAGAAGGCCCTAGTCCTGTCTCTGTTGAGCTAGTTCCTCTCAAGGGGACTGGGGTGGGGGGGACCCCCCCTTTCTGTGTGCCATTCTGTGTCTAAGAGGAACTTAGACTCCAGGTTCCAGGCTCTCAGGTCCCGGGAAGGAGATGACACAGACTTGAGTATGACGATGCGACAGCTGCCTCCCAGACAGAGGGACCCACGGGAAGGTTTAGCCCCCCTTGCAGAGCCTCCAGCGACGATAGATCAGCACATGGAGACTTTAAAATGTGTCATATTAATTTTCAATGGTAAGATTCATACTGTCACTGTCACTGTCCTCCTGTTGTTCATCGATTTGCTCGCGCGGGCCCAGTAACGTCTCCACTGTGACACTTGTTACTGTGTTTGGCATATTGAATACATCACGAGTAGCTTGCCAGGCTTTGCTGTGCGGGTGAGATACTCTCGGTAGCTTGCCCGGCTCTCTGAGAGGGGCGGAGGAATCAAACTGGGGTCAGCCATGTCGGCCGCATGCAAGGCAAACACCCTACCGGCTGTGCTAAGATTCATATATTTATCTAAAAAGGTATGAAAAACAGACATCCAGACATCAAGATAAAAGAATTTTGCAGTAAACACTTTTGTATCTATTAGATACACAATTCTTGATATTGTGCTAGATTTGCTTCCCCGGGCATTGATCATTCCTCTCTCCATCTGTTAAGCTTCTTGTTTTGGAAGCTTTTCTAACTGAATTGCAAACCTTAGAACATTTTCCCACAAAGCCACTTGAGCACGCACATCATTAACTTGATTTTATATTTACTTAGAGTTCTCTTCTCTCTCCCTCCTTCCTCTTTCCTTCTTTCCTTTCTCTTTCTCCCTCTCTTATTCTCTTTTTCTTTCTCTCTCTTTTAAAAATTTATTTAAATTTATTTATTTATTATTATTTTGCTTTTTGGGGGTCACACCTGGCGATGCTCAGGGGTTACTCCTGGCTCTGCACTCAGGAATTACTCCTGGCAGTGTTCAGGGGGACCATATGGGATTCCAGGGATAGAACCTGGGCTGGCTGCATTCTCTTTCCCTCCCTCCCTCTGTCCCTCCCTCCCTCTGTCCCTCCCTCCCTTCCTTCCTTCCTTCCTTCCTTCCCTCCCTCCCTCCTTCCTTCCTTCCTTCCTTCCTTCCTTCCTTCCTCTCTTCCTCTCTTCCTCTCTTCCTCTCTTTCTTTCTTTCTTTCTTTCTTTCTTTCTTTTCCTTCCTTCCTCCCCCCTCCACCTCTCTTTTTTTGAGGGAGGTTAGTTAAGGTAAAGTTTGGATATAGGGGAATTCACTTCCCCAGAGTGGAAAGGTGCCACTTACTGAATTTAGGTCAATGTATACTGTACCCTAAGCTCCAACTGGGATATAGAGAAACACCATCAACAGAAAGTGCCCTCATTCTCATATATATATATATATATATATATATATATATATATATATAGCCACCGCCCCCATGCATGCACCTAATATAGTACTAATAAAAAGCGGTCACTGATGCTGGCTGCCTGCCGTTAACTGTTTCTAAGTAATGTCATTTTTCTGATACTTTCTTGACTAATTTTGGTCAACACTGACCTTTCAGTCTGTTGCCTTCCCCAGTGATTTCTTCAGTCTGAGTTTGAATCCCAGCCCTTCTTCTTTCTGGTCCTATGACTTTGGATGAATGACTTAACTGCCTCCTGCCTCAGTTTCCCCATTTGTAAAATAGGGATAGAAAGAATATCTAAGTTATTGATGAGGCTTTAGCACAACAGGTGCCTAGAATTATGCCTATTACCCGTTCAGCGGTTAAAATGTTTTTTCTATAACTCAAACACCGTCAAACACTGTCCTCCCGTTGTTCATCGATTTGCTCGAGCGGGCCCAGTAACGTCTCCATTTTGAGACTTCTTGTTACTGTGTTTGGCATATTGAATACGTCACGGGGAGCTTACCAGGCTTTTCCGGGCAGGCAAGATACTCTCGGGAGCTTGT